GGAATGTGGACCCCGAAACGAACATGAACATCGTGAGTGGCGCGGCGGAGAGGGAGGGCAGCGTGCCCGGGGTTTCTGGCGGGCACGGAGCGGGGTCTGGGCGGCGGGCGGCCGGGCGGGTGCCTCTCGCCCTCCGCAGCCGCGGGGAAAGCTCCGGGAGGCTGCAGCGGTCACCTCGCGGCTACTTAGACGTGGTCTTTATCTGCTTCTCCTTCCAGGGCCTTCTTGGTCCCCTCTTGCCTGTGCCTTATCGTTCTCTCGCACGTTTTCTGATCCAGACCTGTGATTTTTGTTAGGGTCGGGCCCCTCTTTCTTAACTCCTAAAAAAGCGCGTGTTTATGAAGCGTGCTTGGGCAGCTACCACAGCGCTCTCGCCTTCTTACCAACAACTGCTTGTGTTCCTATTTGGTATTTACTCTCTCAACTTTATTCTCCTTCTGCTGCGATAGCCAATTCCAGAAAATATTTACTGTTTTTATCTGGTATTACTTTCCCTTTCCTCTGCCCCATCTAAACTGTGCCATTTTTTCACATGTCCAAGATACTTTAAGCTAGAAATGCTTAAGGCTTATAAGAGAAGAAGTGCTTGAGTTGTCAGTATCATCTAACTATCATTTCGAGGACTGAAAATAGTCATTTATTCTAAGGCTAATAGCATTTGAATGGAATTTAGCCTTAAAAACGTTTTGGAATGTTAAGATCACTGTGGGTGATTAAAGATATATTTTTTTTAAATTGCATGTTTAATTAAATGCTCCTTCTCCTTGCCCAACAGCTTAAGGACACACTCTGATCATGTCTTCCATTTCGTATCTTTTCTTAAGGCATGGCTGGTGTCATAAAACCGATTAAATAGCAAGTTCTCTGTCCTAATGGAGTTGCATCAAATGAAAATAATAGTGCCTGAGACAAAAGAGATGAGAGATAAACCTGTTAATGAAATCTTAGTGTTAAACAAGTGGGGGTTTTCTATTATTTTCTTGTTTGACTTGTCAGCAAAGTCTCTGAAAAGCTCTCCAACAGATGTAAGGTTTGAGGAGAAAGGTGAGTGAGAAATGGCACATGAAACTACGAGCTGAGGTGGCAGTGTCAGCACCTCACACATGTGAGGAGTGGGACCTTAGTGTTTTAAAGCTGCTGCGTTTGTGGTTCATTTCAGCACATTGCCTAAACATGACTGTGTCTTCTGTATAACAGAATTCAGCATGAAGTTCAGATATAAACCTGAAATGTTTTTAAAGAAGCCCTTCCCTTCAGGAGAGGTGAACTCTTCTTCTATATGCCAGTGGATTTTTGCTGTCCTCACTTGTTTGTTACTAGAAGATACTGCTTTCCTTGACAGCAGACAGTTTCAATTTTTGTCTGCCAAATCCATGTTTCAGTGTTTTGCCCTGTTATCATAATCTCCTTTTCAACACTTCAGTCTCCTTTCTCACTGTAAGCAGCAGGTGAATAACTAATATGACAGTGGATGGGGACAGACTAGGGAGTCTCCCACATTCCTAGGACAAGGTTTGTGCTCTGGCTCCTGACTCCATAGATTAAGTCTCATAAGAAAACCTGTCTGCATCGAATAGGTGGGTGGTATGGCACATTCCTACCACATCCTTTATTTTCACCTCACTGATTTTGGAAGGAACCCAGAGTACTTTGCACATGTTAATGAACTGAGGAGTCTGGAAGTCTGACTCCAAGGCGGTTCCTTTTCTTCCTTCAGAGTCAAATTATTACCTTCAGGGGATACCCTAGTGAGGAGTATGAAGTGACAACAGAAGATGGGTATATCCTTTCCATTAACAGAATTCCTTATGGACGAAAAGGCCGTGAGAGTAGCAAAGGTAAGATTTATGTCTTGTTTGGAAGAATATAAAGTCACAAAAAGGCTGTCTTTGATTTATAAAACTTTTGCTCCTTTAATAATCCAGAAAAAGATTAAAGCTTATATGACCTGTGCAATTCGAATGTTTTATTGGTAAATGTTATGGCCAAAATAGATTAGGCACTTGTAGAGTGACTTGAGTAGAGGACGAGAGGAATTAGAAAGCTGTATTTTCCTGTATTTTTGTGGCATTAATACAAGCCCTTCATTGTTTGGTGGGTTTGGTTTTTTTTTGAGGGACTGAGAAGCCTGGATTTTCTAGGAAGTGGAAAATGAGGGTTGAGATTTGTTGTGTTTTTTAAAGTAATAACGTCTCTTGAAAAGAGGTTGATTGTAACATTGCTGGGTTATCTCAAACCCCATTTTAAAAATACGTTTCTTTATAACAAGTAAATTTGTAAGAAACACCCGACCATTTTCAGAAGTAGAGACAGTTCACATGCTTCTTGGTGAAATACAACTAAACTGTAAGAGTTCCCACTGGAATGTTCACAAAATAATTACGGCCTGATTTCTGCATAAAATAATAATTCATTTGTTAATTTTTACTTCTCTGAAGATCCCTTTGCAGTAAGGTACAAGCCAGAGCAATACTGTTTACTGCTGGGGTGTCATATTTTACACAGCTGCTTAAATAAGTAAAACAATATAAGATAAAATCCCTTCAGAACATCTTTAGTACAATACATTTAAAAATAGATCGCAAATTAGGATATGTGACAGGTAGTTGACAACAGTCAGCCCAGACCACTTTTATGGATGTGATTTGATGGTGGACTGGAAGGAGCATGTGCCGCCAGAGCAGTGTTACAAGCTGTAAGATTTACTGTGAAAGCTGGTAGAAAACTATGGAAGGGGTGCAGGGAGTGTACAGGTGAGGAGATGGGGGAGAGGAAAGGTAAGG